CTCTATGTATATAAAAACATGCTATTACACAATAATATTGGGGAAATACTCATGTTTGACAGTTAATTTTAAACATAACTGAACTAGAGTACTATTAGCAAGGCACTGCCTATCTATGTTCATGATATCTAATACACCTTGACCCCTTGCTGAAAATGCTCTGAAATATTTCCACTTAGGAAGTCTTTGGAGTACTGTATTATTTATAGGAATATGCTCAGTGAACTCATGCTAATTCTGTTTGCATCTGTCAAGACTAACATATAAATAAATACACAGATTTTCAACATGGCAAGCAGTGAGTTTTAATGGGAAGCACGTAGATTTACAGTCGGGCAGATTATGTTAAAATCTTAGATTTTCCGGTTAGACGTGTTACTTAATTTCTCTGAGCAAGGCTGTATTTTTTCCTTGAAAACAAAGATATATTTTTAAAAAGATACATTCGTACAGAGCATTATAAAGAATACTATATATATATTTCATGTTGCCTAGCATTCGAGGCACTCCAGACATTAAATCCTTGTTCCATGTGCCTCTCCTCCTCCTCACCCTGTAAATGAAAACCACCAAATATTTCTGGGTAAGAAAAATTCAGCAGTCACAACGTCTGTAATAGGTAATCTTTTTTCTGAGACCCAGTGTCATGCCAGCTGAGGTCATGATGTCCTTTGGGGTGTAAATGAAATGAGCTCCAGCTCCCTAACTCACATCCTTTGGGAAACCTGGAGGCAGCACCGGGATTGCTGGACAGGCTTCACCTATGCTCTCAGGAAATATCTAGAGTGTTGAGAACTTCAGATGGTTCTGTCAACTCTGGCTTCAGGTTCCTGTAGCCGTGGGTTCTTGAATGCCTTAGTGTCATGTGCTGTAACACCTTTCCTTCTGCCAGGATGAGCCAGGGGAATAGCATAGCACTTTCTCTAAATGCCACACACAGGTCTGTGTCTAACAGACTTGAGTGTAGATTTGGACACTCCAGCAGAACAGTTACATAATAGCTGTGTAAACAATGTCAGCTTGAAATGTAGACATCATGATTTCTTACTAGCTACTTTTCTTGATGTATTACAACCGCAAAACACACTGCCTGGCCCCCTCTCTTCCTAAAGTTTACTTCCAGCTCTGCTTTTGGGGTCTTCTCTCCTGGGCTTCCCCATCCTTTCCCAATAAAGCTCTCCCCTTCATTATGCAGACTCATCCTCAACTTTTAGGCAAGTTCTACTTTTCCAAAGATGCTGTAGGCTTCAGTCAACAGTGTCATCTATCCCAAGATCACATTTGCCCCTTCTTCAAAGTGACTTTAATAAATCACCTTCCTTGGAATCACAGCTATAACTGCTTTTAAGAACTGGCAGAGGTCTTATTAGTTCAGTTTTTTTTTTCCTTAATCCTTCTCTCACCCAACTCTGTGGAAGGGAGAATGGAAAAGATTTTTATTTCTCATATAAATTATATCACTCTCTTGAGGGGTCAGGAATAGCTTAATCATTTTGGGTTTTAATAACATTTTTCCTCTGAGATACAATTCCTTAAACCCAATTTTCCTCATTGTAGCTGTTCTTTTTGGGGAGGGAAATCACTAGATTCTTATTAGGCTTTGTTTTCACATTGGCAAAATTGAAAGATTACAGTATGTATCTCCAGGACCCCATATTTGTTGATATTATGAAATCTTTTGACCATAATTGTTTAGATTTATTTTTTCTTTAGCAGTTTATCTACAGTTTTCATTTCCAGTTAATAAAAAAATAAGTCATGTATTTTTCTTATTTTGAAGTGAACAGATGAATGAAAACTCTAATATCCTTTTATTTTATTCTTTCTACCTAATTAGTCAATTCTCTAAGGAATGTCTGTTTTAGAACTTCAGAATCTTAGTTTGAGAGCTAAATGCATCACTCATAGATGTTTATTTGAGAACCACTATTAAGTCCTTCTGACCTTTAGTTTTTTTTAATTATAAAAGAAATTTTTAAAATTATAATTATAAAAGAGAACAGTAAAGACAACTACCTCATGGGGTTACTGTGAGGAATAAATTAGATTATTTAAGTGAAAAGAATTTGTAGATTGTAAGGCATCATCAAATGCTAATTCATTTGAAAGGATGAAGGAAGTAGAAATTGAGAAAGATAGAGGAGAGTTATGTTTTTAAGCACATTTTGCATCACTAGTTTGTGGAGATAATTTATTATCTACTAGAGACAAAAAAAAAAAAACACCTGAATCTTTGATTACATGCACAGAAGTGTATTGAGGTGGATACATAATATATTAGTTTGCTGTTTTCAAAATGTTTAACATGAAGCATTATGAATGATGTGGAGGAAAACAATTTTAAAAACTTTGAGGGCAATATTTATTACCACAATCTACCTTAAGAACTATTTTTAATATAAATAGCCACACAATTTACTATTTTTTAAATCTATCTATGGAATTTGTATTTAGATCAGGTTTTCTGATTAAACCTATTATATATATATGTGTGTATATATATTCTACTATATATATAATGTACAACATGTAATATATAATTGAAAATAAAACATGTCCAATGTCTTAACAATAGAAGAAAATGATTCATATTGCCACAAAACTGATCATTGGTTATGTGCCTTCCTCTTGTCTCAGTTGTTGGCAATGTATTACCTCAAGGGCAGGAGTTGGTTTGTTTGATTGACATGTACTGTACAGCACAACACTGCCTATTAAGTAAACGTATTGGTATGGAGAAATATGGAGGAAAATCACAGATGCATGGATTTCTGTTCACTTTTTAAAGTCAGCCTTATCAAGAAATGAAAATCCAGACACTATTGAGTTGCCACATTGTTTCTTATTTTACACGTATCTTTATTCAGTTCTTCAAATGTTAAATTTCACAAAATTTTAAACTGAAAAACACCAAGTATCAAAGATAGCTGTTGGAGACATAAATAGAGTATAAGTTATTGCCTCAATGCAAGAAGACAGTGTTGCCTGGCCCCTAAATGGTTCCTGTCCTTGACATCCTATGGCACTACTCAAAATGACGATGGTGAATTTCCTTTTCTTTTTTTTAAATTTTATTGTTGTTTGATTACAGTTATCTACATTCCTCCCCCACTCCCCCCCATCCTAGCCAAACTCACCTCCCTCCCTTGTTTCCACCCTCCCCCTTGGTTTTGCCCATGTGTCCTTTTTAGTAGTTCCTGAAAACCCTTCCCCGCTTTATGCCTTACCCCCCTCCCTTCTGGTTACTCTCAGATAGCTCTTAATTTCAGTGTCTCTGGTTATATTTTGTTTGATTTTTTTCTTTTGTTGATTATGTTCCAGTTAAAGGTGAGATCATATGGTATTTGTCCCTCCTAAGTGCCCATCAGTAAATGAGTGGATCAAAAAAATTGCGGTACATTTACACAATGGAATACTACACAGCAGAGAGAAGGAAGGAATGACAGCAGGGATGGAACTGGAGAGCACTATGCTAAGTGAAATAAACCAGGCAGTGAGGGACAAATACCACATGATCCTTTTCTTTCCATAAGTCTTCAAATGGCTTTGACCCGTGCTTGAGTACCATTCACTATTGCGCTTGCCCAATAGCCTTGCCTAGTCGAGCACCCCCAGCTGCCTGAGGTTGTCACTCTTCTTGTGCCCAACTTTTTCACATTCCCTCACATCTCTGCTGAAACCATTGCTCTTTTTCTTAACTAATCTTCCTCCAGGACTCTGGAATTTATCCCTTCATACAAAGTCAGGCACTTGGTTTAATTACTCCTGCTTTCTTTTTCTAATATATACATCTTAACTTTCTTTTTAGTGATTTCTCTTTGACTAATAAAGGTGTTTTACTCTCTCCAATTAAAAAATGACAAAATCAGAGCACACTATATATTTTCTTTGGCCTGTCTTCATTGCCCAGTGTGATATTTGAGTCTTTTCTTTCTTAAACTTGTCTTTTCCCTTCTTCACAATGTCCATTCTGGATTCAGCCTTGAGTCAATTCACATCTTCCAAAAAGCCAACTATAAGACAGAATTAAAGGTGCAAAAGATTTATTGGGAAATGCTTGTGATGGACAAAGGGGAGGGAGCAAAAGTAAGTGGGATGACCCTTCAGGCTGTGACACAAGCCTTTCACCCCTGAGGGGGGAAAGAATGGAAGAAAGAGTGCATACGAAAAGCCTCAGATTGCCAGGCCATTTGAGAAAACCTCAGCCACACCAAGGGATATCCAGAACAAAGAATGCATTAGAAGAGGCCCAGGTCAGGGTGGACTGGCCAGCTCTACACCCCCACAGTGCTGGCGGCTGATTGCTCAGTCTACAAGAAACTGAGCACCACACTTATATCACAGGTACCAGTCACTCTGGTGAACTTAACTTTCTTAAAGCTTACAAATGATGATTAGACTGTCTTCTCTATATTTTCCACTTTTGACAAGCTACTTCGTGTAGATCAGCAAAAGTTATGGTTCTTCAGTGTGACTCACCACAACAGCTATCTGTGTCACCGGACTTACATGGTTACAGTCATTCACAGGTTTGTTCTTTCACCAGTGGGACACAAGCCTCCCCAGTGTTCGTAACTGCAGAAATTGCCACTCAGTATTAGTTTATAAACATGCAAAATATATTTTAAAATCTGAAAATCTTAATAACAATACATAGTGCTGATATTTCTTGGCATGCCTAGTATGTGTCAGGCACTGCTCCCAGTATTTTATGTTATGACTTTTTAAAATCTGTATTATTACCCTTTACAGTAGATTCTGGTAGTGTTGATACATAACAGAAGGTGATACAGAAGTGCAGAGAGGTTAAGTAAGTCCTTTAAGACCACACGGCTAGGAAGTGGTTAAACTAGGATTCAAACCCATTCCTCTCCAGATCCCACACAGCCAGTATATTTCCTGTACCACTTCTCTATAAAATAGTTAATGGTAAAATGTTGACCCAATGTCTATTTTAAAGCATATGCATTATGCAACGATATTTTTCTTCTGTCTTTCAGGTCCCTGCATTCCTAATCCGTGCCATAATGGAGGAACCTGTGAAATAAGTGAAGCGTATCGAGGGGACACATTCATAGGCTATGTTTGTAAATGTCCCCGAGGATTTAATGGGATTCACTGTCAGCACAGTAAGTTATCCACGGTCATTGTGCTTTCATTCTTATTGATTGCAAAGTGTACAAGCCATTATCATTCTTGTTTGTAGTAGAATAATAGCATCTTTGAGCAAAGAGCCCTGGCCGTGGGCTGCTTCTCTCACATGAATACACCACTTTCCAGCCAAGGTCTCTTGGACTGCCAGTCCCCATGTGGCAGGGAGCTATCCATCTTTTGCTGTCCTTTCCATTAGTGTTTAGCCACACTTGCAAAATGTTACTCTTTATATTAAACTGATACCTGTCTCTTTCTTTCATACTTTCCCTGACACTACATTCTTCAATCTTTCCAGATATAATTCTGTGGACTAGGTTCAGACATGATACCCAGAAAGGAAAACACCCCCACCACCCTATGTAGAAGCCAGTTTCCTTCTTCTTAACGTATTGGTATTTTTAGCATGAAAATCTTTGAAAGTTCAACAAATGTGATATTTGCACTTCTCTTTTTTATCCGCATTCTTATTTATCCTGGGAAGTTAAATGAAATATTTCCACTTGTGATGATTTCTTCTCAGAAGTAAAGCTCAACATAAATGCCAAGTGAGTGCGTGGGTCTTTAACTTCTATAAGCTTTCAGCAAGCAGGGAGGCCACACTGAACTATAAGCTGTCAGGGCAGGTTCTTACAGAGGCCGCAACTTGTTGAGTCTTGATGGAGGGATAGGGTGTTGATCGGAGGGTGGAGAACAGGGGAGTGGATGGCACATGGTGGGAGGTAGGAGGATTGGAGCCCTGAATAGTGGTAATTAAGACCATGGTATCAGGAAGGAGTAAGCCAAAGCTGGATATCTCAGCCAGAGCCAGATTTCCAAATACCGGTAAAAAATACATTATGTTTCCTGGCTCTGAGACTTTGAGGCATTTCATACTTTTCTGAAGACTTGTCATTACTAGGAGATTATAGAATTCCTGTAGAAGTCTGTTAAAGGACAAAGAGCATTTGTGTTCCTTACATTTGGCATTTGTAATTGTCTCTAAGAGCTCAGATCACCAATGAGGAACTGCGAGGCTGCTGATTTTCTCAGCTTGGGTCTTTAGTTGCTAAGGCTGATTCTTCCATATTGTAGCATCACTGTTCAGCCTTCATACATGAATACCTCAACATATCCCCAGAAAGACGGAGATGGGAGCCCAGAATCCTGGTTGCCTTTTATTTGGTCTGCATTCACTCTATCCCATGAAGACAGTGGTGGTACTAACTTACTTATTAACAAAAATACACAGTGTGTCAAAGCAGTGCCCAGAGGGAGACAGCCTAGCTACCCAGCTTGAGCTCCTCCATTCAGAGTGGCAAGCATGCAGTGTGCGCGCGCACACACACACACACATACAGAGGAATCCCCCCTTGAAATGGGAACAGAATTTTCTGAATCTTGGGCTGATTGCCCAAGGTTCAGAGTCAGGAATTGCACTTAAGGGTCACATCATCCTAACTTTCTCTTTTCTGTGCTATAGGATCTCAGAAGGGAGAGGGTAAATGTACACAAAGGCAGATTCTTACTGTCAGGAATTCTTAAGAAGACAGCATCTGGAAGGCATGTGTAGACCCGAATGCCACTTAAATATTGCATATTTACTAGCCCTTTCATCCCATCCTACTGCTGATGTCAGTGTGAAGTTGGGGTTGGTCCTTAAACCAGAGGCTGAGAAACTCCAAACCTAAGTTCCAGCTAATAATACCTGCCTAACAACATGAAATTGTTTTCACATTTCTGGGTTTTGTTTTCTTCATGTTGTGAAGAAATGTTTAGTTTCAGTTATCTTTAGTAGCCTAGAAGACATCAGGTCCTCATGTGTTTTTCCCAGTGTAAGTGAGGCTGACTCCCACATATTGGCTGGCTGTGAGTTCTTTCAACAGAATGATCAGGTTTGGAGAAATAGAACAAATCATTCTTGTCCCCATTCTCCACACACAATAGAAATCCAAATCTTTGCTCTCATAGCTTACACCATATTCAAATAAGCTCATTAATACAAATAATTGTGTTGAATTTCAAGGCTTATTTTAAAGCACAAAGAAACCCTCCCCATTAATAGCAGCTGGTCCCCATCAAAACCTTAAACCTATGGTAGGAATTGCATTAGAAAGCCCTAAGCTGAGCACATCAATTCAGAACTGGGATTTTGTGCTCACTGTCCTCTGAAGTGCGTCACTATTAGAAGCCACAGAGAATGGAGAGAAAAGAACTGGATTTGGAATCAGAGACCTGGATTTGAGACCTGACCTTTACAGTTATTGGATAAGTGACCTTGAGCCAGTCAAATGACCTTTCTTCAATTGAAGACATATAAATGGAGGAATTTACTAGAAATGGATTATCTTTGTTTCACACAGGTGAAGAGGGTATTATAACTAAATGGGTGGCTCGCTTACCGTACAAAGGTTAACAAGCCTTCCACTTTATAGATGAAATTGAAAAGGATTATATATTGGAAAGGCAGATGTAGAAGTGCTGGCAGCCCTGAGAGCTTTTCTAGATGGGGGAAAACAAAAGTACCTCTTGCTTTTTTAAGATTTGTTTATTTATTTACTTTTGAGAGAGAGAGAAAAGGAAGGAGAAAGAGAGGGAGAGGAACATCAATGTGTGGTTGCCTCTCATGTGCCCCCTACTGGAGGCCTGGCCCTCAACCCAGGCATGTGCTCTGACCTGGAATTAAACTAGCAATCCTTTGGTTCACAGACCCATGCTCAGTCCACTGAGCTACATCAGCCAGGGCAAAAGTAGCTTTTTTAATCCTTTGCAAGAACTGCTAGATATTTGGGTTTGTTTATCCCAGTGGTAATATTTTTATGCCATGAACATGCTCTAAAGCTTTGTTGCTCAAGGTGTGGCTATGCATCAGCATTGCCTGGAAGCTTGTTAGAAATGAAAATGATCAGGTGCCACCTCAAACTAACCACAGTGATCCCCTGTCAACATCCATGCATTTTAAAATTTGAGAAATACTGTCCAGAGGTCCAGGGCTTTTGGTGCTAAAAGTAATCATCTCATAGACTAATATAGCAATTTTTGTGTTCAGTTTCATAACAGTAATTATAGCTAAAATATTTATTGTGGATTTTGCAAATCAAAAATGTATTGAAAAATCAATGAAAGTGAGAGCTAAGCAAATATAACAAAAACATTTCTCTTGGGAAAAGAACTTTTAAAAGTGCTTCTGGCGTTCATGTGTGGGGGAGCTATTTTATTTAGTTCCATATGACAGAATGTGAATTATATATCTTTTGAAGTATAGATAAAGAACTTTAAGTTTCATAATACAGAATAACAAATATTCAACACATACTTAATATAGTTTAATAATTATTTTGTCAATATGTTACAAATTTTTAAAAAGTTTTCAGTGCCAGCATTAATATTACTCACTATGCTTTTTAAAAAATAGTAAATATTAGTTTTTAGAACATTTTTTGGTTTTAAGAAACATTGAACAGAGAATTCCCACATAATTCACCCCCTACTTTATTTGCTCTATTAACATCTCATTAAAATGGTATATTTGTTACAATCAATAAAACAACATTAATGCATTATTATTAAAGGTCATAGTTTATATTTGAGTTCACTATTTACGTTGTATAGTTCTTTGGTTCTTGAAAAATATATAATATCACACACATATCCACAATAACTTCATAGAGAATGGTGTCATGGACCTAAATGCTCCACCTGTCCATCCCTTCTCTCCCACTCCCCACCCCTGGGCAACCACTGATGCTTTTCTGACTATCTCTATAGTTTTACTTTTAGAGAATATCACATAGTTGGGATCCTACACCATGAAACTGGAATCATATAGTATGTAGACTTTTCCCAACTAACTTCTTTCACTTAATTATATGCATTTAGGGTTCTTCCATGTCTTTTTGTGACTTGATAGCTCTTTTTGAAAAAGCTGTATAATATTTTATTTTATGGATATACCACAGTTCATTTATTTGTTCACCTATTGAGGAAGATTTAATTGCTTCCATTTGGGACAACTATGAGTAAAGTTGCTATGAATATTCATGTGCAGGTTTTGTGTAGACCTCAGTTGTCAACTCATTTGTACAAATATCTAGAAGTGTGATGGCTGGATCATTTGGTAAGAGTACATTCAGTTTTGTAAGAAACTGCCAAACTGCCTTTCAGAGTGGCTGTGCCATTTCATACACTTATTAACAATGAATGAGAGTTCCTGTTGTTCTATATTTTCAATAACATTTTTGTCAGTGTTTTGGATTTTAGCCAGTACATATATTTTTGTGGTAATGAAAATAGCATGAGATTATAACTTTATAAGACTAGTAATAACTAGCAGTAGTTTTTATAAGGAATTGCCAAATTATACATATTCTTAAAATGCCATACAATGATGTGAAACCTATGTACACACATAGGCATGTATGAGGTCTAACCAGAAAAAGTCCAGCAATTGTTAATATAATGAGAACGGTTTCTGTGGCACTGCTATAGCCTGGCAGCCAAGGAGAGTGGCCTGGAATGCACATGTGTGAACAATGATGACTTCACTGTACTAGTCAGTGGGGGTAGTACACATCATAGAGTGAGCATATGTACTATGTGGCCATCACATTCAAAATGACTGAGTAGAGCAACAGATCTGCATCATAATTTGTGTTAAGCTTGAACATTCCTCTGTGGAAACTATTCAAGTGATTCAGAAGGCCACGGCTACGGGCAACTGGTGACTGGCAGCTTCATCACATCAATGCACTCATTCATACAGCACATCTCATGCAGTTTTTTTGTGAAACATCAAATCACCCACATTACTCAGCCCCACTACAGTTCAGATTTGTCACCTTGCAATTTCTGGCTTTTCCCAAAACTAAAATCACCTTTGAAAGGGAAGCGATTTCAGACTGTTGATGAGATTCAGAAAAACATGATAGGGCAGCTGATGTCAATTGGGAGAACTATGTGAAGTCCTGAAGTGCCTACTTTGAAGGGGACTGAGGCATCA